CCCTATGCTTTTGATCTGTGTAGTTTATAATTTTTAATGTGGCTTATACCATCTTTAAGAAGAAATTCAAAGTCAATCAACACTTGTAGTTCCCTTTTCCCAACCGTCAGTATCTCATCCTTCCTATTAGTAAAATCACTCGTACTTTTACCATGTAGACTTCAGTTTGGAGCAGGCAGAGGGAGGGTTTTGTATGTACTTATTCTCTTGCATGTCTTTTGATTTATCTTACTGTGTCTATCAGTTATTATTAACAAATGGCCCCCTAAGCTATTAGTAATTTCTAGCTATATCCAATTTATCCTCTAGAGAGTGCCTTCAAATTTGTGGACATAGGAATATAGCTCACAGCAACCTCCTCTGAGCCTTTAGATATTATCCTTGGAACATAATCAAGGGGCCACTTCATATCTAGAGTCAACAGTGACCTTCCAGAACACACTACATTGTCAATTTTAAATACTGTATTCGACTTTGGGTAAGAGCTACAGGACTAATCTCTTATATAGGTGTGTGTATGTGACTGGGCTGTGTGAGAGAGAGACAGAAAGAGAGAGACAGAGAGAATGATGAGACAGAGAAGCAAATGTGATAATACATTTGTATCTATATGCTGTCTACTGTATACCATACGGATACATGACACGTCACATAAGTTGCATATGACATATTTATGTTGTATAGACTCTCAGAATTTCTCTTCCTTAGCTTATACCTTTAGTATTTAATAATACACAAAACCTTTGCAAATGTGTCTTTTTGAAGTGTTACCAAACTACGACCAACGTGGCTTTTGAGTGCCTTCCCATGGAAAGCAGGCTTGTGAAAACCTGCATGTGTCTCTGCCCACCTTACTTACCGGGCTGACTCTGGGACTTCGGGCTCTTCTCTGGTCAAAATCACCATGAAAGGTAAACGTTTTGAATGGCCTCAGGACATCGAGGCAGCCACAGCAGGCTAACGGAAGGTGCCCATGCAAAAAGGTTTCCAGAACTGCTTTGGAAGTGGCAGGAATGATGGGACAAGTGTGTTCAAACCAGGCAGGAGTGTTTCATGGGGAATTACTGGCAACATGCCTTTTACTGTAATATTTTTTTAAAATACCAAAGTTCATTCTGTGTTTTGATCATATCTCATACAAGGCACTGCTAAGGTCTGAATTTTGGTTTCCTTGAAAATTCTTACATTGAAGCCTGTGAGGTCCCGGGGTTTGCCCCCACAGAGGGATTAGTGCTGCCGTTAAAGACCAAAGAGAGTTTGCGGGCCCCTCCTCCATCCGGGGACACGGCGAGCAGGTGCCAGCTATGCAGCACGGGATCTTGGACTTCTGGCTTCTGGAAAGGTAAGAATTAAACGTCTGCTGTTGACAAGATATGCAGGATAAGGTGTCTTGTCATTGCAGTCTGAACAGACTAAGCCAGACACCCAGGCCTGGTGCAGGAATTACGAGGGGAATTTTATTCCCTTTTCTTTCTCCACTTTCTTCAATGTCAGTCTTCGCTTTTCTCCTTCACATTTCACATCCAATTAGTGGCCATTATAGGTGAATTTTTCTCTTCATATCATCTTCTGTTTTTGTTCCTTTTATTTTTCCTCTCCATGATCCTAACTTAAATCCGTAGCATTTTGTACCTAGATAATTTCAAAAGCTCCCTTCTGGTTCATCCACCTGTCATGGTCTCCAGCCTAATTAAATGCCTCCTTTGCCCGGGCATACTAACAGAATCCTCACAATGACCCAACGGAGTGAGAGTCATTATCCCTATTTTTCAAATAAGAAAGCTAGGAGAATTTAATAAAAATACTGTCCCAGATAATCCAACTAACAGGGCCGACAAAGACATTTAAACTCCTCGTTAAATTTAATCTGACTTTCCATAAAATTAGATTATCTTCCAGTTAGACATCTATTTAATGGGGACTGGACAGAACCAGAACATAATAAGGTGTGGACTGTGGGATTGGTAGGTGATGCAGGCTGGGTGCATTTGTCCCTTTAGGGCTCCTGAATTGCAGATCTCGTCCTGAGTGGGGCAATGCCAAGAAGTGGGCACTGGCAGGAGGTCTTTCAGTGACTTGGGGTTTCCCTCGGGAGGGATTAAAGTAGTCTCCAGGGATCAAGTTAGTTCTCACAAGAGCAAATTATTATAAATCCCCAGCCTGAGTGAATAGCTCTCTGGCTTCCTGCCTGCTAATGCGACCTCCCTTTCCATGTGTGCTTTTACCACTGTGGTGTCATCCACCACGAGGCCCTCACCAGAGCCGGGCTGACGCCAGCACCATAACCTTGAACCTTCAAAATTAAGTGCTAAATAAGTCTCTTTTCTAAGTCAGCCTGCCTCGGTAATTTCATTATAGTAACAAAACCAGACAAACACAGTATGCAACAGACAGGAAGCAAAAACTGGTGACACCAGAAGCAAGAACAGGAGAGAAATGTCAAAGGTTAGTTGAAGCTTTGAGGCTGGGTCACTCAAGGTTCTGGTGATGCTGCGGCACTGCCTTCCTCCTCTAGGCAGGCCTTCCTCCTCCTCTGTGGAGGGTCCGTGATGGGGTTTAAGGAGTAGGGTCCCCCCTGCAGAGCCAGTCTACCTTAATTCCCACCTTGCCACTCCCCATTACCAGCTCTGTGACCTTTGGAGAGCACTTTCCTCCTGTGCTCCTTACCCAGCTACAAGGAGCATAATCATTTTAAAAGATCTACTTAAAGGCAATGATGAAGTTTTGAAAGCACACGGCATGTAGCTTAATATTCATAAAGTATTATTTGAGAATATCCACACATTTCCCTTGCTTTGAAATAAAGTTGTGTGCAAAGGCTCGATTTAATTGTTTACATTTCCTTTATATGTATAAACAACAACAAAAAAGTAATCAGAGGCCAGAATTCTAGCAGGGCTAGCTTACTTGGTTTAAACCCAGCAAGCTCTGACATGCTCCTGATTCTAATGAGGTCACAGAGAGCATTTTAGACACAGAGTGTTTTTTCTCTTGAAAGTAAGATACTTGATCACATTTGCATGATGAGAAGCACGATTGGTTTCTTCTCATCACAGAAGGGACTTAATGAAAATGTAATGTATATATTCACTCCCCCTTTCCAATCAAAGACTGTTTGTTTTTCCAGCCGGATGCTCTCCTATGGAGTTGCTACAAAAATGATAGATGAGATAGATGCCCTTAGGTGAAAGCTGGCTGGTTAGGGTACCTTCTCTCTAAAACTGTTAACTGTTTTGGTATCCATCATGAGGAAGAGCTTGTTTAGACCTGAGCTCTTATTTTTACTATATAACTGGGTAATTCTTTCCAACTCGCTCCTGAGGAATGAATCAGTATAGCCAGAGGATGAGCTGGTCACAAACAGCGTGGAGTCGTACTCCACACCACACATTCCCCACCTCCAACGGGAAGTCTCCTCTCTCTGGAGCACTCGCTACTGTCATGCATCAGGTTTTACTATTACATTTAGACCACCTCAGCCCCAACTGGTTCTTCTTTTCTCTAAACATCAAATTCATACAAGACCGTGACAGTGTTCATGGGTGAGCCCATGGTCAGAGTGTGCTGGTAGGGAACTCTGTCTGATTTGAGCCCAGTCCTTGGTAATCCAGACAGGAATGTTCTCAGGCTAATCAGAAAAGAAATGAATTAGTGTATGCCTCAACAATTCAGGCCAAACATGCCAAAGCATGAAGGGTACAATTTCATCCCAGGCTGCATATGCTGATTGTTTTTTTTAACCTATCCTGTTGGTGGAGGAGCAATAGGCGAGGTTTATAATCCTCAAGAAGCCAGAGGAGCTGCTAGAATGCATGTGAGGATACGTAGCACCAGATGTGCATGAAAGAGGGGAACATCTCACCTGGGCATCGCAGCTTTATTTCTAGGGTTGGTGTGTTCAAAAGTGATCCAGGGAGAAAGATAAGGGCGGGAACAAAGTGCAATAGTCTTAGAAAACCCATTTCCAGTTTCCTCTTTTCTAAACTGCTGGAAAGGCAGATTCACTTCTAAAAATTCCCACACTTCAACAGCAAACTTCATTCATCTGGGTGAGAAACAGGAGAACCATTTCCCACACATCAGCTGTGCAGTCAAGTAAGAGGATGGTATTTCACACACCCTCTCTTGGCAATAATAGGCTTTATTTTCTTTTGAATGTTATGTAATCTTAGGACCAAGTTCTTTCATGCATTAATTCTTTATCTCAGAGCATGAGTGTTATCATCAGTTCTTCCTTCGACCTGCAGCTTCCCCCTGGTACCATGGGTGGACGATGGAGCACAGACACTTGGAGAAGATTCTCAGACAAGGAGGACCGCGGGGCAGGTGCACGCCCTTTCCTCTGAAAAATCTACAGCTTTGTCCAAAGAGCTCATATTTACATGAAGGTCTCATTCTGGCAATGTCTGCTTTGTTGGAGTGAATCAAACAACCAACAAAGTCACACATTACTTCCTTTTAAAATGTGATCTCCTCTCGTCACTCTCTGCTCATCCGAGTTTTAAAAGAAACATAAAAAGCATTCAGGAGTTTGCTCTAGTAATCTCGGATACTTCCAGTAAACAACTTATCAGTCAGCAAAGCAAGCTGCCTTAGCATGAATGGGTTTATACCTCCACTTGGAAATATCAAGGAAACAGCCAATTATTTTTTTAAAGAAGTCTTAAGGAAATTACAGTTACTTTCTGAGGAAAGTGTGCACTTCAGAGACTGTATTAATTGGTGCTTGCATTTGAGGTCACCGTGGACTATCTTTCCCTGGCAAAGTGCACCAAATGATCCTTACTAATTACAAGGCACCATAACCCCTGATACAAAATCATTTTTCAAAAATCAGTGCTCTGGTTGGCAAAAGTGTCCTCTCTTCTAGTGAAAAACGGAGCATCCCAGACTCAAGTGACTGTTCAGTCTCACGCTAGCAACAGCCATTTTCACCCACAGATGCTAATTATCCAATCTCAGGTAACAAACGAGATCTGCAGAAAACTCCAGTTTCTTACCATTGCGATCCAATCTTCCCTCCAGTCCGAGTGCCTCAGCTGTGAGCTGTTGCTGGTGTGCTGCTTCCCACAGCCTCTGGAGCCTTTGGAGGCAGAGAAGGTTTCATGTGGTGCAAATGTACTGCCACCGATTACATTTCAGTCCCTCAACTGCTGGCCTTGGTGCTTTGGAAATCAGCCAAGCCAAGCGCAAAGAGAAAGGGCGGCAGCTCGCAATGTCAGAATTTCCCTCAGAATGTGCTCTTAAAATCCTGGGCCCCTCTTTGAGCATTTTAGCAAACACCGAGGACAGCTCTGTTCAGTTATGTTTCTTTCTTTTTCTTTCAAACCAAGATGAGTTGTACTGCTTACAGGATGAAATCACAGCAAGTGCTCAAGCCAACGGGGCAGAGTGGGGCTGCCGGCTCAGGAAGGGTATCCACAGGCGTCTGATCTGCACAGAAAAGGCTGCTTTCTAATCCAAGCCGAAGAGAATCCTGCCTAAACAAGAGGGAGGAAGGGGGACAAGGCTGCTGAGCACTCCATGGTAACAGCAGCTCGGTCATCAGGAGGTGTTTTGCAAAGTCCAGACTAAATCGTTTGGTGCAGCACTATGCAATCTAAACAGGTGGGAAGAAAAGTTATTTGTGGATCATTATAATCTATGGGGCAGAACCAAATCCTGAAGAATAAGCCTGAAGTTCTTCAAATGCAGGGTACTATTTTCTGAGATGCATTAAATTCAGTCTGTGGTTTTATAAATTACAATACTTAGGGTCTCTGCTTTTTCTTATCCTTTACCACATTATATTGTTTAATATATATTTTTTTGTCTCAGAGAAGATTTAATCACAAAACTGGCACAGAACAAGGCATGGGCTTCACCTAAAGCTCAAACCACAATTATTTTTTTTTTAATTTTTATTTTTTATCTTTTTCCTTTTTATCAGTACCGGGGATCGAACTCACGACTGCCTGCTTGCAAGACAGGCACTTTTGCCGCTGAGCTAAATCTCCAGCCCCAAACCACAATTCTTTAGAATAACAGCACACATAAGCAAAAACATCTTTTATTGCCAGCTTGTTTATCTGCCTTCTCTACCCCACTTGTAAGTTCGAGCAGGGTGTTTACCATGTCTGTTTTGTTCACTTCTGTATCCCCAGCACAGCGTTTTTTCCTTCTGAGATATTTACTAGTTGTGTTAATTTATTATTATCTCACGATGGTTGGAAATGTTGGCGAAGTCCCACGAATTGGTATAATTCCTTTTGTTTGGAGCCTGATGTGTTCTGGGCTTAGACTGAGCTCCTTTCATGACTGATTTTCCCCTTATAAAAGAGGTAACATTTATATTCCTTCATATGATTAGGTCTAGAAAGGGAAGAAATAACTTCCAGCAAAGCTAAACGCTTGTTCCAGAGCTAAGTGAACCCAAGGAATAAAATCCATGCTGACAGCCAAGGGATCTGAATTATCAGAAGAGTCAAAGGCTTTACCAGGCTTGATAGCAACGAAAAGTAGCTGAGAATCAAGAAAGTGCAAGAAAACCACTCAGATTTGCACTCCTTGAGATCCACGGGAACAGCAGAGGAACAGCAGACGTAGCACGCAAACTAGGAGCTGAGAGACCACACTCTTTGGCCAAGAGGCAGCTACTCTTCATGCACTCTAGACACCAGGATTCACGCAGCCGCTTCACGGACTGCTCTGGAGCTCAAAAGTATCAGGTTCATCTCCCCAGGCTGGGACGAGCCAATGTGACCTAAGGTGGGTCTCATTTCAGGATCCTGTCCCTATACTCTTTGTCAATAGCACTCAGATACAGTGCTTCAATTGTCCCTGGGTTGTGCCCAGTTATACTTCCCATACAGAGTGAGACGGTGACACCTATTGCAGCATACTGGAAAAGTGACTTCCCTGCCATTTCCCACTAGTCTTTGTCTTGGTGAACAAGGAAAAACCACCTACTAGGCATCAATGAAGCATCTTCTTTTTCTTCCACCTGTTCTCCAATGTGCAGTGATGTTCGTTCCTCTTCAGGAACATGCCTCTGATAGCTTCAGCCCATCACAGCCTCTCTGCTGTCTCACACTCATCTCTGCACTAACCATTTAGCATTCAAGGATTATATACTATCTTCTGACCCTTCTCAGATGCGACTGGCTTTCAAAAATATTTTACCGTCTCACCACACTATAAACATATTAGTCCTGTTTTAAAGGTTTCTCTTTCCTCCCTCCCCTCATCTCATCTTCCTTCTCTTTTATATGCTGGGAATGGACTCAGGGCCCTATGTATGCTAGGCAGGTGCCCTACCACAGAGCTACACCTCCAGATCCTGTTTAAAATTCCCCTTGGCATCCCCCTTACTGTAAGATAGGTAAGACCATGGCACTAAGATCCTTCATGCAGGGTGCAAGAGTCAGCTTTTCTATTTCTGGATGCACTGGGCCTCCATGCCCCACCCAGACACACCTATATGTGCTTCACCAGTCCCTGGGTCAGCTTACAGGTCAGTTGACAGAATCAAGCTTTACCAACACCCCACTTCTTGTCAACATGACGCCTGAACGTATCTCCTTCTTAATCCAATAAACACAAGTCACAATCCTGCCTAACATGATACAAGTATTTTGCATACAAGCAAAGATGCAACAATCCCTTTTCCACAGTCTCAACAGTTCCAGGATTTTTCAAAATTCCAAGTCTCCTGTAAAACTCATGGCAAACTCTTAACTATAAACCTCTGTAAAAACTAAAAACCAGTTACATAATGCCAAGGTACAACAGCACAGGTACAACATTAGCATCCTGAAGAGGAGGAACAGGGGGTACCAAAGAGCAGGACCAAAGCAAGACCAAAATCCAGGAGTGCAAACGTCAAATCCTGTAGCTCTGTGTCTGCACCCAAGGCACCAGGTGATGAGATGTGGGTTCCAGAGTGCTCGGGCAGCCTCCACCTACATGCTTTTGCTGGGTTGCAGCCCATTCAGCCTCTCTCTTGGGCTGACTTTGCTCAGACCCTGCAGCTTTCCTTGCCAGATAATCCATTCCTGGCATCTCCAACTTCCCGGGGTCTCCACTGCTTCTTTGGTTTCATTCCCTTAACTACAGGATGCAGTCCGTGGTCACTGGCTCCAAGGCAGAAACATTCATGGCAGGAGGGCACGGGGAAGCAAAGCCATTTAGTTTAAGATGGTAGGGATGAAGAACGTAAACACGGCACCAAAGAGGAAGGGGTTGGGGACAGATCTATACCCAAGGCCAGGTCTGCGTGAGCCATGTGAACCACCTAGAAGTGTGCTCCCCAATTCTCAACAGCTCACAAGCCAACCAAGCTGACAGAATCAAGCTTAACCAATGCATAGGGGTTCCCTAGTTTCTTCTCCCATGCCTTCTTATTTGCAAAGAATTATTTGCAGTGCACCCAGTAGACTGAGCTCACTCTTGCTCTGAGGCCTTTGTTTGCAGTACACTTTCTCAGGGACGGTTTTTACCATATCCCCTTGGAGGTGCTGCTCAGTCCTCGCTCTCTCTGCCCTCTCCCTCCAGCCTCCTTGAAGGACTGAATGACCAGCTGAAGACAGCAGGTATATTAAGTGTGGATGCACGGCCGCCTCTCATTTTTTTAGAGCCCTGCTCAAACTCACAAAGCTTTTTCTGCAATGAGAAATTCTTACCAAGTGTGTTGGCATTTTCCCCTAAAAAGCCTGACCTTTTCTCAAAGAAATTAACCTAGCAGAAACAGCATGGGACCATGCTAAGTCTCACGAATAATTATTTGCCTGTTGACTGAATCAGAAGTCTATGAATGCAAAAAATTATTCACACAATTGTGTTAACTGAAACCGTTGGAGTTCTCAGCTTGATTTGATCAGAACCCACTGAATCACTGAGCTACCTCAGTGACACCTATTCCCCAACAGCATGAGTAAAAATATTAAGAATTTCCTAGGAGAGAAGCAGAAAGAATTGTGGAATTTTCAATAAAACAGTAGTCTGTGCATTTTTGTAGAAACAAATGTGGATTTCTATTGTAGTCAGGGGTTGTACAGAGACCAATTAGAATCAGAACATGGAGTTTATAATATTGTTTTACGATGGTTGCACAGAGTTAACACAAGAAAATGCAGGAAATGTATCCACAACACCAAAGACATATTCAGTCAAGGGCCTGAATCCCACAGCAATATCCCACATGAGTCCAGATGAAAACCCAGAGCTCATGACAATGCCTCCCACGAGTCCAACTGGAGGTCCAGAGCCCACAAGAAGGACTCACGCCAGTCTCTTTTATGGATCCATGCTGGGAAGGCCCAAAGGTCAGCAGTGGAAGCCAGAAAGTCCATGCCAGCGGGGTTAGGGAGCTGTGCTGGTGGTATGAGGGTTCTGTGCTGGAGATGAGGAGTCACACAACAAAGACCAGGCTCACCCTGAAAAGCACCACAGCCATCCTTAGTGACACAGAGGTCCCAAGTTCCTCCGAAGATAAGCACAGTCTAGTACCTGCCCAGAAGCCAGCGTGAGTTCATCCCAGAGACCAAGCAGCACACGTCTTCCCCTCCAGAGCCAGGAAGCAATGCTCGATGTGAGGACCAGAGCTTCTCCAGGAGCACCAGTGGCTCACACAGCAACTCACAGGAGAACCCACAGTGCCTCAGCACTTCAGCTCTTCTCAACTGCCTCTACTTATGCTCGCAACTTTCCTCAGGTGAAACACCCACGCTCAGCAGCATGGTGGTTCAGTTCCGCTGGTGTTAAGTTGACCACCAGTTTTTAATCTATAACAACAACCAAAGCCAGCATTTTCTTCTGAACCACCCGAGTTCTGTTCCTCTGCACACACTAACAAGTACAGTAATTCAATGTCTTAGACAAAGGAAGAAAGGAACTCAGAAGTTGGTGTTTTCAGGTGCAAAGAAAGAGAAATCCTTCACAAATGTTCTGTGCTCTGAATGTTGACATTCCCCTCCCAGTTCACATGTTGAAACCAGATTCCCATCCTCATGGTATAAAGAGTGCAGGCCTTTGATTCATGACAAGTCTATGCACCCTTATAAATAAGAGCCTCTCATGTGAGCGTACACTGGGAAGGCGCCATCCACCTCACTGGAAACAAGTCTGCCCATGCCTTGATCTTGGGTTTCCATGCCTTCAAAATTGCGAGCCAGAAACTTCTGTTCTTTCTAAGCCACTCAACTTAGCAGTATTTTTGTTATACTGAAATGAGTTAAGAGAAAATATATACGAAAAGCAACTGTTTTAGATTTTTAAAAAATCTTATTTACTCTTTCAGTGTCTTACACTAGAGAGACAATATGGTATTTACACATGTGAGTTTGGTTTATTTCACTTATGTGTATGATTTCAAGTCATATCCATTTACTTATAAAGGCCTCAATGTGGTCTTTCTTTATAGCTGAGTAGTATTCCATTCATTTAGATTTTTTAAAAAAGTATATCTATTTTA